CTGGCCTCATTTGGCCTCAAGGAAATCGCTTGAGTTCAAAATAGCAAGAAAGAAATCTTGCTGTCTGTCTATGGCCTGACATGGGGTTTTAAAGTGGTAAAATAAAACAGAACATTGACTTTACCATTGTAGCCATGGGGTGGTTCAATAGAATTTAGCAAGGACCCATTGTCCTGCAGCCATCAGCACCCTTCTCTTGAACATTTTCGTCATCCCCGGCTACACACATTAAAGAGCAACTTCAGATTTCCCCAGTGACTGTTGTTTGTAAAGGAGAGCACTCCTATTTTATGCTTTATTTTCTTTATGCGAGCAAGCTCATAATTGTTTTCCTGATATGAGGGAGGGGGATATTTGCTAGTATAATGGCAAGCGCAGAACCTACTGACAAAGGTGTGTAATTTGTGAAACAGCTGAGTGGGCACAATTCTGATTTCCACTTGCCTTCAGCACTCCAGCACACCCCCGCTAATGCTTTCCCTGGGCATGTGTTTGCACTGATAAAAATCACATCCACGCACAAAGCGCCAGCCTGATTATAAAAACCATGTACCAAGCGTGAGGCTTTACTTTTTTTTTTTTTTTTTTTTTCATATGCTTTCTGATTTACAGAAGATGAGGCGGTCCTGACTGATTCCAAAAGAGCAGCAGGGCTGTGGATCCCGTCCTTGCTTACACCAGCACACTGTTTGGCCTCTCCCCACCTTCCCTGTCCCTTCTGGGCACTCTTTTCCCCTGAGTGGTGATCCCGTGCCCTCCCAAGGACCCTGCTGTGACTCCAATGTCAAGCAAATGCACAAGGCTGCACTGCGGTTTGGGGTGCAGGCAGGGGTAGTTCCCATTAGGAATGACATTTCTCTACATACTGGCCTCATTTGGCCTCAAGGAAATCGCTTGAGTTCAAAATAGCAATCGTGAAAATGGGCAAGCCTTCCAGAGTGGTGCATACCTTCAGTCCTCACACTCTGGAGGCCGAGGCAGGAGGACCACTGAGTTTCAAGGCATCCTGAGCTGGATAGTGAGTTCCCAGCCAGCGTAGTAGACATAGACCCTATTCTCAAAAGCAGCCACAACAATTTGTCATCAGCAGCACCCCAGAAGAGCTTCCCAAGCTAGGCAGAGGATTGGTAGAGCCTTCCTAGCGCATTCCTTCCACGCACTGGGTCCATTCTTTGTTGTCTTCTCTCTGTGTCGGTCACTTCTCTCTGTGTCACGCAGCTGTGACAAACTACCAGGGGTAAGCTGAAGAGAGGAGGCTCTGTCGTGGCTCACAGTTTCAAAGGATGTGAGCCCAGGGTGGCAAGGAAGACACGGAGACAGATAGACTCTGAGGCGTGCCCCAGCCACTGTGCCAAGTGGTATTTCACCCAACCTCATAATTCTGTGAGGCAGAAATGAATGGTCATTTTCTAGATGGTACAGCTGAGGAGCAGAAGGACCACATAATGTACTCCAAATGCCCAGTTAGTAAGTAGCATCCAGAGCAGAGTTAGCTCTTCCCGGCAGGAGGGGCCCTTGGAAGAGCATCAGGGTTAAACCTGGAAATGCCTCCACTCAAAGCCTGGAACCCCTCCATGGCTGAAGAGAGTGTCCTGGCTCAGCCAGGGGTGGGCACAAGATCTGGGGATGGAGACTGAGGGCAGGGCAGACTGAGGAACAGCAAGGGTCCCTTCTAGTCATTTGTTTTGCACTGCCTGTGTCCTTACGCAACTCTCAAAAACTGCACCATTGGTCCAGTTACCCCAAAGCTACCCTCTAAAGCACTCTGTGACGAGTATTCAAATTAAACGAATCCAGAGAAAACAACACCCTTTTCTTTGTTTTAATTACAGCCACTTGGAGCAAGCGACTATTTGGAATTATCAAAGAATTTTGATACAGTATTTGTACGAAACATTCCACAATTTTCGCTGGCAAAGCGGACCCAGGCACGAAGATTCATAACTCTCATTGACAACTTCTATGACTTCAAGGTAAGGATGAACTCTCCTCTCACAGAACCAGACACGGTGGACTGTGAAGTCAGATGACCTGGGTTGGCACCCTGGCTGTGCTTATTCCTTTTCTGCTCTGTGCCTGTGTTTCGCCATCTGTAAACAGGGGATAACAGTATCTACCCCCAGATGGCTGTTGTGCGGACTACACAGGTTGATCCATGTAAAATGCTTAAAACAACATTTGGCCCAGGCTGCTCTGGACTTCCTGGTAGAAGCAGCCACAGTTAGTATCAGGCTCCAGCACAAACCACTCAACATCAGTGCCCATCATCCCACAAGTAGATTGCGCATAGCAGACCAAGTGTTCAGTGCTCATGTGCTCTCTGAACAAATGGTTGCACCTTTGCCTTGTTGAAGTGCTCCCTATAATCCCCCCCCCCCCCGCCACCCAGGAACTGAGTAGGGAGAGGCCATGCTGCTCTGTTTTTAATCCCTGTGTCTTAGCAGGCAGTACAGAGCCATTACCTGCCCACAGAAGACAATATAGCTTAGCGGTCCAGGAACAGACCCTGGCGCCAGGCTGTCTGTCCCGGAGACTGGCTCAGCCTCTGAGCTTTCACTTCCTTCTGTGGAAATGGAGGGTAATAGTAATACTTGTATGATTTTGTGAGGATGAAGTGACTGTATAAAGTCCTAAGAATCAGGTGGGTCTGGGTTCAGTGGTGCACGCCTATAGTCCAAGTAATCAGGGAGGCAGAGGCAGAGGCAGGGGGATCTCTAGAGTTCAAGGCCAGCCTGGTCTACAAAGCACAGCCAAGGCTACACAGAGAAACAATGTCTCAAAAAAAAAAAAATCTAGTGGGGGAGGCAGTGTTACATCCTAGGCAAGCCCTTTTCACAGTGTCTGCCCTAAAAAGAGACCTACAGTGCAAAAAAAAAACCTACTCAAAATTTTTCTTTCTAGTATTTGCTCAAAATTAAGCAGTAATTGTAATATTGAAGGGTTATTATAGGGAAGGAGGCAAGGAAGAGATGTGAGAGTTTAATGTTTCACGTACTTATCCAATGACCTCTGTGATTCTGAGCAGGATGATAAGCTGAGAGTCAATGGCAGTTGAGATGCAGTGGTTGCCATCATGGAGCCTAGGGCCCGGGGTCCAAGCAGCATGAATCTCATATCTGTGGAGACAATGTTCAGTCTCCAGTTCAGAAAGAGAACTATGAGCCTTGGCATCCAGGAATAGTTGAAGTCCTCTGTGGTCTGCTTGCATCAGACCCATCAGGGCCACTTAAAATCCAGATTCCAGAGCCACTCCACCCCCATCCTAGCAAATGAGTACCAGGCATGGGGCCTGGAAGTTCATGCCTGTTCCTCATGAATGTTCAAGGGATGGAAGACTGGCTCCAGCACAGGGCAGGAGGAATGCAGCTAGCCATGAAAGACAGCCTGCCTGCGGGCTCTGGTGAAAACAGCTCAGGAAAGCCAGCTGAGCAGGGGGTCAGGAGAAGCAGACTGTGACATCAGGGGGCTGAGGCTCCAGGCTCACCAACGGCAGGCCCTGCCCTATTCTCACGGTGGGTCTCCACCCACCGGTGCCCTCCAGCAGGCTGGGGGCTGTTTTCTATGAGTCAAAGGCGTCTGGAGGAAAACAGTGGAGGTGGCATTGGAGGGTCAGGGCTCAGGTTGAAGAAAGTCTGCCCCCCATTGCTCAGCCTCTCCCCCAGTCCTCACCCACCTCTTCCCACGTTTAAAGGAATAAAAGCTTCACCTGGCAGTATGTGATGGCGCTCTCAACCCCCGACATTATCCTAACTGAGCCACACATTTAGAGATTTTTCCTCTCGTTGAAAGTATAGTCAAAATTATCTTATTTCAGAAATTGAGAGCATTAAGCAGACATTATTCTCGAATGTATTCATGAAGATTTGTGAAATAGGACATTTCCATTTAAGTAATGAAGAAAGTGTCATTTGTGATTGAAAGGATGCATTAAAATAAGATGGGAATATGCTAGTCCCTCAAGAAAACACGTTGCTTTAAAGTGTTGATATATTTACTCGAAGGATGAATTTTGAAAGGCTCACAACAGATCTGGGGTTTCTAACTGTCAGGACGGATGTGTTTTGGGGGTGGGCATGGCGTACATGCCTGTAATCCTAGTGCATGGGAGGAAGAGGCAAAAGTGTAATGAGTTGGGGAACAGCCTGGGCTACAGCTGCCTGAGAGAACAAAATGGCACGAAGAACAAGTACGATTTGTTTCTAAACTAATGAACATAAAATATGTAAAAGATACAAACTGGGGGCTGGAGAGCCACTCAGCGGCTGAGAACACTGGCTGCTCTTCCGGAGGACTTGGGTTCAATTCCCAGCACCCACGTGGCAGCTCACACAGTTATAACTTCCAGGGGACCTGACGAAACACCAATGTACATAAAGTAAATTTTAAAAAAAGATACAAATTGTTTTCAAGCTATGATTGTGTCTACACACTCACTGAACACTGAGATGGTGAAAGGAATTTGATATAAAGCCCTCTGAAGGGTGTCCTGGCAGGATGCTAATAGAAAAAAGGTCTGGAGAGGTGGCTCCATAGTTAATGGGGAGGTCCGCTCTTCCAGAGAACCCTCACCCATGCCGGGGGCACTTAACGCTGCCTCTAACTCCAGCTCCAGGGGCATCCGACACCCTCTTCTGCCATACCCACACACAGGCATCCACAATTGAAAATGAGCCTTAAAAAGAGAAAAGGGTTCAGGCAGCCCTTTGTGGAACCATCATGACCCCAACGGCCCCGCCCCTTAACAGTCTTGTGCTGAAAGTGTTTCAGCATGAGCTTTGGAGGGGCTGTGGACATCCAAATCAAACCAGTAAAGGCGAGAGTGCTGGAGTAGGACCAGGGGGTACAGACTGAGCTGGCTGCGGGCTTGGGGTTCCCTGCTGTTTGCTTCATAGCGCGGTCTAAGGTGTGTGGAAATGCATTGAAAAATGCTATGTGGTTTTCAAACCTCACTCAATTACAGACTACTAGGAAAAAGCACAGGAATTTTAAAGGCAGAGACCCAAGGTTTTATCTCCTGGGAGACTCTTCTTGCAACGTGAGTGGAGTCCCACCGTCTGCTCTTTTCCTGGTGCAGGTACGCATCATTTGCTGTGCGTCGGCTCCAATCTCAAGCTTATTTTTCCATCAGCATCATGAAAGTGAACTAGAGCAAAACAGAATATTGATGGACGATTTGGGGCTGAGCCAGGTAGGTGATATTAACTTAATTTCATTTTATTATAAAACAACTTGATGGCTTGGGGTCTGATACATGCTACATTTTGTAGAAGGAATACTATGTCTACAACCCATGGAGTTGGTGCTTTCTAGCAGGTTTTGTCTCTGTATCAGCAATATTTAGACTCTCATCTTGGAGGCCCTGTTGAGTGTGTAGGCCAATGCTTCATTTTCACATAGCAGAAACAGAGTCCCTAGGGTGCCCAGCAAGTCCCCAGCCTGAAAAAGAAACCATGCTTCATTCCCAGATTTTTCATTAGGCAAACATTTTTATTAAGCAAACCTCTGGGGCCAGGCTCAGGGATGCTCTGGAGAAAACAGACTGATGTGTTCTGAGTTTTTCTGGAGTATGGTCTCTGGATTCATCCCAGGCATAAGGATTCTCTTCCCCTGTGAGAGCATTATGGGATATATTAATCAGCTATCAATCACTGACCTGTCAAAAGTTAAATTGTCAACTGACTGTTCTTCCAGAAGACCTGGGTACAATTCTCAGCACCCTCCCCCTGCCCACACACACACAGGGCAGCTAACTATCTGTAACTCTAGTTCCAAGAGATCTGATGTCCTTTCAGGCTTCCATGAGCTATGCATAGATATACATTCAGCAAGACACCCATACATGTAAAATAAAAATAAAAAATAATTAAATCTCAAAATATTTAATTGCTAACACCTACCCCAAGAATTCTTCTAGGCCCAACAGTAAATTCTTGTTGAAATTTGCGGGAAAGCAATAATGCTTTAACGGTAAACTTTGGAAACACGATTACTTTGTGAGTCCTTCTCTTTAGGCCACTGTAGCAAATACTGTAACATACAGCTCATCCAACATGGATACTGTTCCTCACAGTTCTGAGCTGAGCTCATATTGTCTTGTCAGAGGCCTCACGTGATGGGAGGAAGGATGGATCTCCCTGGGCCTTCTTTCATGAAGACACTGTATCTGTTCTTGAGTACCCCACTCTGAAGACGTAACTAACTCTCTAAGGCTGTGTCCCCTGATGCCACACCTTTGAGGGTCAAGGTTTCGATATGGATGTTTTGGAAGGTCATAAACATTTAGACTGTGGTAGTGTAGGAATAACTGCTTAAACTCCCCATGTGGGAGCACAACCATGCTGCCTCTCAAAGGGCAGCACCCAAGTGCTGTCACTGCCTTCGAGGATTTCAGGGACTGTACTCAGGGGCTAGTCAGTCAAATAGTTTCTTATCAGAGGCTCTAAAGTTTCTGCAGGGGTCAGGGTTCAGACATAGGCCCAAGTGTGCACAGCCCCTCACAGAGAAACCAAGGAATGTGACCTCAGAGTCCTAGAGTCACAGCGACCCAGTGGGGAAGATGGGATTAGGGTCTGAAAGAACTAAAGAGCAAGCTCCCAAGGAGAGACAGGAAGACCCAAAGCTGTTCTCATGACCATGCGCCTGTGTTACTATCCCCAGGCCCAGGGAGCTGACTGGCCTCACAGGGGAAGAGCACCCCAACATACCTCTCAGCAAGGGGACCTGAAGACCAAAAGCAGCTCTAGTCTTTGCAACATCATGTCTCAGGAAGGTTCTTCAGAGCCGGGACCCACAGGGCCTTTCAGTCACTCGGTCTAGAAAAGGCTCCTAAGGCCTGGTCCTCAGGAGCTTCCTAACTTTCTTTTTCTCTTTTTGGGGTTTTTAAGACAAGGTATTGGTCTGAACTTACAATCTTCCTGTCTTAGCCTATGGGGTTCTGGGATTACAGAGTGAGTCACCATGCCTGGCAAAACTATCATTTTTGCCATTTGCTGCTTTTGAGGAGAGATTTCTTTCTAGCATGTTCCTTTAGGATTTGCAGAGAACTTCCATTCTGAGCAAAACATTCTGTACTTGGATTCTCTATTTCAGCTTTGATCTGATACTTTTCTTTTCCTTCTGGTTCTCTTGATTACCTATTGCTTTGATCGGTTGGCACTTTAGTCCCATTGAAGAGATTATATGTGAAAAAATATATTATCTAAATCATTAAGCCTGGAGGTTTTCTTAAACCTGGATTTGGTGTGCAGGTCTTCCTCAGAGGAATGGTTTTCACTGGGGCTGGCTTTTGTCTGTCTGTTCTGCTCACAGGACTCAGCAGGGCTCTCCATGTTTACGGGAGAGGAGGAAATCTTCGCGTTTCAGCGCACGATTTCCCGGCTCACGGAGATGCAGACGGAACAGTACTGGATTGAAGGGGACAGAAGCCAGAAGGAATTGTCACAGTCACATGAATAAAAAAAGGCAGGGAGACAGCACTGTGAGATTGGCAGCAGCAGCTCCTCATCATCAATTACGCACTTTGTCCTTCTATGCACTTTGCCTGTTTATTTGGACTCATTTCTGCATCATAAAGTGGAATCATTACTCCTGAAGATTACTGCAAAACCTGACGTGTCGGCTCCTGACTGAGCCTTGAACATAAACACAGTGAACGCAGGGTGCCTGAGCATCTCTGGGCTCGGCTGCACAGAGTCATGCCTTAGAAATATATTTGCTATAAGAAGCAGGTGGAATCCCACATTTCAGTTTAAAACAAAGGAAGCTTTCTGGGCATTTAAACTGAAGGGGAAAGCATTTTACGTTGGCCTCCTCATTTCTGTTTGTTGGTTGTGAACTGCAATAATCTCCAGGCCCTGAGGTTTCCTCAGTTCTGGGGAACCTGTGTCTAACCCATAGACACAGCTCAGCAGGCAGCACCCGATCCCATGAGGACACGGATTACAAAACCATCAGACAAGGAGCAAGTGTGAAATTCCAGCTCACAGCTAGGTCTCCCTCTGAGAGCCAAGGAAGGCAGGTACCAGGTGCTGGCGGCTGCAGAGCAGCAGCCACACACCAGCAGGAGTGTGGGCTACCCTCATCACCTGGCGCCCTTACTCTGCTCACCCCCACCCCTCACTGCAGTCACTCACACCTTTGATGCTGAGCCGGGAACTTGGACCTCATAGGAAACACGAAGGACACATGACAAGTCTGCAAATAAAAGCCAATTTCTCCATCACTGCACTTGTCTGACTCATTTAAGTAAAACCTGTCTTTGTTAAGTTTTATCACCAAAGGAATTTGGGTTGCAGTTCTTTAAAGGGCTGGAGAGATGGCTCAGCAGTTAAGAATGCTTGCTGGTCTCACAAAGCACCAGAGTTTAGTCTTAGCACCCACATTGGGTAGCTCAAAACCACCTGTAACTCCAACTCCAAGGGACCCGACATCCTCTTCCAACCTCCAGTGTACTCACGTGTACATGCCCATATACCCACATAGACAAACATACATATATATAAATTTAAAAAATAATAAGTCTTGTTTTTAGAAGAGAAAGAGAATCTTTTTTTAATTCTTTATTAATTACACTTTATTCACTTTGTATCCCCCTGGTGGTTCCCTCCCTCCTCCTGTCCCAATCCCTCCCTTTCTCCACCCTCTGCATGCATGCCCCTCCCCAAGTCCACTGATAGGGGAGGTCTTCTTTTCCTTCCTTCTGATCCTAGTCAATTAGGTCTCATCAGGAGTGGCTGCATTGTTTTCCTCTGTGGCCTGGTAATGCTGCTTCCCCCTCAGAGGGAGGTAATTAAAGAGCAGGCCAATCAGTTCATGTCAGAGACAGTCCCTGTTCCTATTACAATGGAACCCACTTGGATACTGAACTGCCATGGGCTACATCTGTGCAGGGGTCTTAGGTTATCTCCATGTATAGTCCTTGGTTGGAGTATCAGTCTCAGGAAAGACCCCTGTGCTCAGAATTTTTGGTTCTGTTGCTCTCCTTGTGGAGTTCCTGTCCTCTCCAGATCTTAGTGTTTCCCACTTCTTTCCTAAGATTCCCTGCACTCTGCCCAAAGGTTGCCCATAAGTCTCAGCATCTGATTTGATAGTCTGCAGGGCAGAGCCTTTCAGAGGTCCTCTGTGGCAGGCTCCTGACTTGTTCCCTCTTTTCTCCTTCTTCTGATGTCCATCCTCTTTGCCTTTCTGGATAGGAATTGAGCATTTTAGCAAGAGCCCTCCCTCTTGATTAGTTTCTTTAGGTGTACAGATTTTAGTAGGTTTATCCTATATTATATGTCTGTATGAGTGAGTATATACCATGTACATCTTTTTGCTTCTGGGATAGCTCACTCAGGATGATCTTTTCCAGATCCCATTATTTACCTGCAAATTTCATGATTTCCTTGTTTTTTATTGCTGAGTAATGTTCCATGATGTAGATATACCACAATTTGTGCATCCATTCCTCCACTGAGGGGCATCTGGGTTGTTTCCGATTCTGGCTATTACAAATAAGGCTGCTACAAACATGGTTGAGCAAATGTCCTTATTGTGTACTTGAGACTTTTTGGGTATGGCTGGATCTTGAGGAAGCAGTATTCCTAGTTGTCTGAGATAGCGCCAGATTGATTTCCAGGGTGGTTGTAAAAGTTTACATTCCCACCAGCAGTGGAGGAGGGTTCCCCTTTCTCCACAACCTCTCCAGCATGTGTTGTCACTCGAGTTTTTGATCTTGGCCATTCTGATGGGTGTAAGGTGAAATCTCAGGGTCATTTTGATTTGCATTTCCCTGATGGCTAATGAGGTTCAGCATTTCTTTAAGTGTTTCTCTGCCATTCGATATTCCTCTATTGAGAATTCTCTGTTTAGCTCTGTACTCCATTTTTTAATTGGATTACTTGATTTGTTGCTTATTTTTACTTCTTTAGTTCTTTATATATTCTAGATATCAGTCCTCTGTCAGATAAAGGGTTGGTGAAGATCCTTTCCCAATCTATAGGCTGTCATTTTGTTCTGGCGACCTTGTCCTTTGCTTTACAGAAACTTTTCAGTTTCATGAGGTCCCATTTATTGATTGTTGCTCTTAGAGGCTGTGCTGTTGGTGTTCTGTTCAGGAACTCCTTTGCCAATGAGTTCAAGGCTCTTCCCCACTTTGAGAAGAGTTAAGAGAATCTTAACTTTGGGCCAGTAAGATGGCTCAGAAGACAAAGGGCTTGCTGCCCAATCCTGACAATGTGAGTTCAACCCCTGGGACCTGCAGTTGAAGGAGAGAACCGGTTTCTCACTGTTGTCCTGACTGTCACACCCATGCCTGTACTCACCACACACAATGCACATAATAAAAAAAATTAATAGACCCTCTTAATCCCTCTTCAGAAGAGAAAAGAAAGACTATGAATCCCCAAATGATATAAAAATCAACTGTTCAGGAGAGTAGTCAAACCTGTCAATGTAAATACATTCTTTAAGGCTGTTTGTCATTTAATAATCTGTCTGCATCGTTCTAGTTTAGATATTAATGTTTTTATGTCAAACATAGATGAGTAGAGTAGCCAAGCATGTGAAAAAGAAGTCTAAATTAGGGCTTTTGACAGTTAAATGTGGTGTAACTGTATACATGTACATATAGGTGCATGGGTGGATGGATGGGTGTGTGGATAGATGGATGAGTGGGTTGGTGGGTGGGTGGATGGATGGATGGATGGATGCCTGGGTGGGTGGATAGATGGGTGCATGGATGGGTTGGTGTGTGGATGGATGGATGGATGGATGGATGGATGGATGGATGGGTGGATGGGTGGATGGGTGGGTGGGCAGACGGATTCTGGAACCAGGAAGCTCTCTTCTGCCAGTTTTCACTGTGGAACCTGGAACACATCGATGCTCTTTGCCTCAATTTTCTTTCAAAGGACTGTTTTAAAGAAAGCAATAGAATGCTCCTGGCAGCTGGTAGAGGCTTGGCTAGATAAGGTGGTAACAATCATGATCAGAAATGCCCAGTCTGAGACTATTGTGCATTATTGATCTTTGAGGAATTCGAAACTGAAGACAGAGCCCACCCTGGTGGTTTCTTACAGCGGAGCAACGATGATAGGGCTGTACTCCAAGGACAGAGGACTCCGCTGAGATGCTGGAGGGATATCCTGAAATCCAAATCCAGTCTTTTTACATTTTCATTAATTAATTAACATTTGGATCACAGCTTCCCCTCTTCTTCTCCCCCAAGTCCCTCCCACTCCCCTCCCCTCCCCCACGCCCCTGCTTCTGTTGTGAGGGGACCCACATGAAAACCAAGCTGCACATCTGTTACCTATGTGTAGGGAGCCTATGTCCATCCCATGCATGCTCTTTGATTGGTGGGAAAGTCTCTGTGAGTCCCAAAGACCCAAGTTAGTGGATTCTGTAGGCTTTCTTGTGGTGTCCTTGATCAACCTCCCTGGCTCCTTCAATGCTTCCTCCTCCTCTTCCACAAGATTCCTCCTCAAGCTCCACCTGAAGTTTGGCTGTGGCTCTCTGCATCTGTTTCCATCAGCTGCTGGGTGAGGCCTCTCAGAGGACAGTTATGCTAGGCTCAAAAGTCTGCAAAGATAGCAGAGTATCCTTAATAGTGCCAGGGGTTGGCTCTCTGTCATGAGGTGGGCCTCAAGGTAGGCCAGTCATTGGCCATTCCCTCAGTCTCTGCTCCATCTTTATCCCTGTGCATCTTGTAGGCAGGACAAATTTTGGATTGAATGTTTTCATCCTGAGTGAGGGTAATCCAGGCCCAGAAAGACACACATGGTATCTAAATAGATCTTAGCCGTAAAGTACAGGACAACCATGCTACCTACGATCCACAGAACAAATTAAAAAAATTATTTTACAAAATGTGAAAAGCAAAAGCTAAGCTTTGGGACTGGGGCGTGGCTGAGTGGTAGAGCCTTGACTAGCATGTGAAGTCTTGGGTTGAGACCCCAGCACTACCCAAAGGAGTAAAAAGAGTGGCCAAGAGAAGGTGTTTGAATCTCACTCAGAAGGGGAAATAAAACAGACATCGGAGATAGATGGAGGGAGGGAGGGATCTGGATGGGATAGGGTGTGGGGAGGGGCATGGGAGGGATCAATTGTGGGGAGGACTGAGGGAGAGAGAACTGAAATTGGTGTGTGAGGGTGGGTAGTGGGGTGGGATGAGGCAGAAATCTAGGACAAGGGAAACTCCCAGGAATCTAGGAGGATGACCCTAGCGAGGATGACCCTAGCTAACACTCCTAGTGACAGGGGATTTGGAACCTGAAATGCCCCCTCCTATAACCAGGCAAGACTAAGGAGAGATGGGGACTACAACCCTCCCAAATGCATTCTTTTAGTTCAGTCGAATACAAAAACTGTTGCTCGGGTGGTGGATTTCAGCCATTTCCCATGAAGAGAGCACCATCCTGTGGTCGATGCATGAACTGACAGGGGAAAGTCTAGGAAATCTCATTACTGCTTATTCCCAGGCTAGGGCCACCTCCAGAGAGTCAGGCATCCTGGGAGAGTGGGCACCCAGCACCCATGTTTTTAAATGCTCCTTGTGGGACCCTGACATTCGGCAGGATGGGGCTGTCTGGTGATGGCGCATCCGATCTGCAGCCCGGGCTCCTTAACTCTGAGTACCTGATTGTGGAGTGTTTTTCAAGTGATCGCCAACCACCGCTGTACTCACAGGTCACAAACACACAAAGCTATCTCAAGGCCTCTCTGGTACCTTCGTGTGCCTGTGTCTCTTCCTCCCGGAGGCAAAGACCCCGTGGGTGCTGGGAATAGAACCTGAAGTCTCTGCAAGAGCAGCAAGAGCTCTTAACTGCTGCCATTTCTCCAGCCGCTTCACACTCTTTCTTGAGTCCTAGAGATACAAAGGCCGTCTGAGGCCGATTAGTCCTCCAAACGCATCTCCGCCCTGACTCCCACCTCCAGTTCTGCGCTGTCTGCTATCAAATCCAGCACAGCCGCAGGGACTTGACCTGACTGGAGGCCGAGAGGGAATGAAGAAAAGACAAACAGCCAAAGATACTCAAGGAAGTTGAGACCTGGTGAACTGGGCCCTTCAGTGGAGAAACCATGGCACCCTCGGAACTCAGCGTGTTTGTTCTACACATGTGAACAGAGAAGGGGGGGGGTCGAAATCGCCCACAGATTGACAAGGACCACTGAATCTGATATGTGAATATATCTCAATGAAGTCCTTAACAGCAGTATACAAATACTCACTAA